TGGTGAATGGTGATGTCAACATTTTACGAGTAAATATTTCGAAAACGCTTTGTCGCGGGAAAGTACCCGCAAAGGCAAAATTAATTGTCTGCACGAGACAAGAAAGAAAGCATCGCTAAATGTAGCATGCTTATAACGCAACTATTTATTAACTATTTGGGTTTTAAAAATGCGCTTTATCTGCACAAGAGTTGGGCACAATTTATACTTGGTTAGAAACGTTTGATTGTTGCTGATTCCTATACATTTGAAATTTTTAATAGTGAGGAGTTATGGTACTGTCATTTTTTTGTTTGCCCTTGTATATATATATTAGTTTTTTAGCGCATTTTTTAAGAATAAAAAAAATGCGCTATTTGTGTTGTGTCCATCCGTCCGTCCGGACCCACTTCTACCCTTTTGAACCACGTCTAGGAGAATGGTCCTAGACTCCTGGAATTGTTGAGAATAGGTAGCATATACCTTGAATGTGTGCCGGAGGACCATACAATTTCTCTGTTGGGGGGGGGGGGGGGGCATTATATCCTAAAATGCTGTTTTTGATAGTAAAACGTGCATAACTTTTACATACGACAATCAAATGGTCTCAGATTTTGCATGCGCATGCCTTTAGTGGTGCGAAATAAAACTTTTTAAAATGAGGGGGGTGGGGGGGAACTCACGTTTTACCCTTCATGGTATTCTAATGAAAGGTCTTATCGAAATAAATTAGTTTGTACAAACTATAACTTTCCCGCACGATTCTTTTCGAAATCAGTGGGCGACGGGGGAGGGATGGGAGGTAGAGGGGTCAATTAATTTTATCTTTCATGGTATTCTAATTAAAAGTCTCAACGAAAAGATCGCATTCTACCTACTACCGCGCTTCTTTCTGACCCCTTATCAATAGAGGAGGTGGGGTTCGATCATTCATGGTACTTCCACAAAAGGAATTAATTTCTACCAACCATAGTCCCCCTCCTCGATCTCTTTTCGTGATTGGATATATTCCTTTATATCTCCAAACCGGATTGTCGGAAGAGGGTACTCACAAAGGGCGACTGGGACGTCTAAAAAAAATTTATCCATTGGTGATGTCAAGTGAATATCTCGAAAACAGTTTTTCGGAGGAAAGTACTCTCAAAGACAAAATGAATCTACAGGACGGCACATAACGGCCGATCAAAAATGAGTTGCTGTCGAGTCGCCTTTGGAAGTTCCATGTAAACCAACATTCCAAAGGTGACTCGACAGCAACTCATTTTTGATCGCCCAAAACTCAAAAATGAGTTGCTGTCGAGTCACCTTTGGAATGTTGGTTTACATGGAACTTCCAAAGGCGACTCGACAGCAACTCATTTATCGCCCGTTATGTGCCGTCCTGTAGATTCATTTTGTCTTTGAGAGTACTTTCCTCCGAAAAACTGTTTTCGAGATATTCACTTGACAGTCGCCTTTGGAAGTTTCATGTAAACCAACATTCCAAAGGTGACCAGACAGCAACTCATTTTTGATCGCATTGTATCTATTGGTGAATTCGAAGCAAATATACCTTCACAACGAAGTGTCGGAAAAGGGTACTCATAAAAGACTAGTGGATCCTGGAACGTCAACATGCGGTAATTTCAGTCGAAGGAAATACGCCCTTAACAGCTTCTTGATCTCTTAGCGTTGTAACTGCAAGCTTTAAAATTGGAAAGATAATTGCTTTTTATTTGGTTTCCAAAATATGTGCAAAAATAACTCGTTGCTAAAATTCAGTTACATCTAAGTAGGTATATTTTTGTAAAAATGTGACGTTTTCATGACGGATGGATAAAGAATTGTTTATAATACTTTTGGTTTGTGTCCATATCGCAAACAAATTTGTTTTTATTAAGGTGCATCCTGCCTTTTGTTTAAATTTAATTATGGTCCTGATGAAATTGCCGAAATAAATAGGGTAATTAAAGATGAATTAAGGTTTTGTCCTTAATCATTTAGATAACTTTTAATACAAAATTAAGCAGACATTCCGAAAGCAGGAAATGATCTAATTACCTACGTCCCATACAATAATATCGATTAGTTAATAATCTATAATGTATAATTTCATTGCCATTAAAAGAGTTAATTCATTCTAATCTTCAAATAAATTCACTGCGGTACATTTGTTTCTTTGTTTTACTATTTATTTGATAAATGCAACATTTGAAAAAATCAACTTAGTGGCTCGATTGGTTTCGATAATGCCGATGAAAGGTAGAAATACAATATGTAGGTGTTCACCAGATTTAAAGACGCTTAATTAAAAAATGCACGTTTACAACTAATAGATTGGGAATATTTTAATAACGCGAAGTTCAAGAGCACAGTGGCATTGATTAGAAGTCATTCGATTGAAACATTCAATTAAAGGTTTCATTTCAAGTACAATTATTCCATTAAACTTAATTTAGCAAGATAGCCCACAATTTGTAAATTTAGCAGTGTCTAATACATTTTTTCTCGTTTTAATTATAATGTCTTTTAAATTAAGACGTGACAGAAAATAATGAAACGGCAAATCCGAGAAAGAGATGTTTCCACAGGTAAGTAAACCCCCACTTACGGTAGTCATGCAAATCCCGATTATCCCGAAAGGTGAGAAACCCTGTTTGCACGGGGGGTTGTAATTGCAGTTATAAAGCCACTCTACCATTCATAAAGTGTTCACTAAAGAAAAGTACCTCAAGATTGTAATAAGACTTCAGTTTGGATTATGAAAATGAATAGTGCACACCTTTTGTTTATAACTCTTTTATTGTTAATATGCTGTAGTGTTTCTTTCACGTGGTCGTCAAGTATTAGTAGTATCATCTCAATTAGAGGATTTATGTCGCAACCAGTAAGTACTGCAATTTGAATTTTCAAATATTTTGCTTTAGGCCTGTTATGATTAAAATTAGTAGTAATGCATCAGAGGTGCTGTAATAATTATTATATGAGAGTAGTGTTATATGTTGATGTTAATCCTTTTATTTATTTAAGGAACTAATCGAAAGCCTTGCAAATGGTGCTCAAATGGCAATGCACGCATGCCAAACCACATTTAAATGGGACAAATGGAACTGCCCGGAATCTTCATTTTCTCGGTAAGTCTTTGATCTTATATTATAACCACAACTACCATTTGCAATCTTTGACTAGTTTTTACACACTTACATAACACTGCTTTTCATTCTAACATTTGGGGAAAAACGAGAGTAACGTTTTCAAAAGAGTGATGACGCAGAGTTAAGTACTTGTCAAGAAACCCTGCAAGAAACCAATTATCTGTTTGCATTATTGCTGTCATTCTGTCTTTTCTCGCATTAATTGAGTTCTAACGTCAATGGTGACACTTTACAATAATTGGTCACGGTACCAGTTATGTTCAAATATTTCTTCGTCTCTAAAAATGGTGAGGAAAATGTGATTTTCCTCTCTAGTGAGGAAAGTAAACAATTGCTGAGTAAATCTTATAATGACATTTAAAAATAAACATACCCGTATCTAGATTGCTCATTATTGCATATGATGATTTTTCAATTATGATTGTAGTTTCAGAAAAAATTATGTGTAAAACTTGACAAGAAAGTGTTTTTCAACTCTCGTTCAATTGACACACTCGCTACCCTCATGTATCAACTTTGAACTCGAGTTGAAAAATTTCACTTTCTTCTCTAATTGTACAAATAACTATTTTTGCATATAGTGATCAAATTACCGGACTTTTTTGTCAAAAAAGCATATGGAAAGTGTTACTTTTTTTCACGATTTTCCTCTGCGTTTCCATGGCGTTTAGTCCTATCTATGAACAATAGCGTCAATTTTTGAATGACAGGACTCGCAAATGTCAATAGTATTATTCAATTATGGGCAAGATTATGAGTTATTAAGTATCACTATGCAAAAAATGTGTACAACACGTGTTGAAAGTATCTCTTTTTCAGGAATTTACTTGTTTAACTCTGCAGATCCATGAAAAAAAGTATCACTTTCAAAACTAGTTTTACAAATAAGTGTTTTCATATTAGGTATACAATGTCATTTTTGAAAGATGTGAAAATAATTGGAAAACAGCCCCTACAAAAGTTTAATTACACATTAACTCTAAAATATTTAGTGTATTTAGAAGGATACGTTATCCATTGGAAAACATTGAGCTCTGCGGGTCTTTTTTCGCAAAGTTTCATCACAGAAAGTAAGCAGTGATGGATAATAGCTTGAACATTCCATAATCTTCAACTTATCTTTGTCCTAAAGAAGCTGTGAAGCGAAAAAATTTGTTTGGATCAATGTTGTGTGTTTTTCTATCAAATGTCATTCACTAGCAAAGGGAGACTATACCGATATTTTGCTGTTATCCGGATCTCCAAGATGTTAATTTGATGTCAATTACGACAATAACATCTCTTATATCAATCACATAAAAATTGTTATGCATACATATAAACATTTTTAAATAGGGAGCCATTCCTACCCCTCTGGTAAAGGAGAGTGAGTCGCCCGTAAAAGTACATTTTTTTAGTATCCGGCAATTTATACAGGTAAACTACACCCTTTATCAAAAAAGGCGTGGTTACCTTTTTTGTAGAGCATAATTCTTTATCGATTAGGTGTATTAACTTTTGTTTTATAGCCATTATAACCGCTAAAACAACCTCAAAGTTGATTAACATTTTACATTTGACAAAAAATGCAAGCTTTTTGCTTTTTGTTAATGGTTAAACGTGAAATTAATTTGTGTCTTATTTTATGATCTCTTGATGTTAAATCAAACCATGGCTGTCTTAGGGCATTAAAAGTTTTGTAGTTTGCTGCACAAATCTTCGTTTCGCTCCTCTTTCCAAAAAACTGTTCATTTTAAATAGTCATTTATTACAAACTTATTATAATCACTTGGGAAACATAATAAAGAATCTGATACACTGTTTGCGTAACTCAAGATCTATCAGAACGGTCGAATGGTGTAACAAACAAATATAAATTGTACAAAGCTTTTGCGCAGATATAGCCAAATGGCTTTGTAAATTACTGGGTTCCGGTAAGAGCATGCTTATATCTACAGGGTCGGTATTTTCTATAGCTCACACCTAGTAAAAAATATAAGTGCAAATGTCAGCAATAGATGGTTGCGCATTTACAGAAATTATTTTTGAATGTACAGAGTATCCCATTTTTATGGTGTAAATAAATAACTGATTCCTTTAAATAGAACACCGTGTATATTTTTAGTTGTTTCGATGTAATTTGTTACCATCTAGATTGAAACCTATTCACTCTTTGATTTTTTGTCAATCTTATTAATTTTTTACCAAATGATTACTTTTTGGCAACCTTGTCAAGGAACCTTGGCGCAGTTTTTCGTATCATGAGAATACTTGGTCCTTTTAAGCAATTCTGTATGGTTTGAATTGTACCAGTAAACTTGTTATAAGATTAAAGCCCCCCTTACCCACCCACAATACCACTACTACAACTATCTTTTGGAATAATTTTGTTAGGCTAATGTCTTTTTACTACGTGGTAATAGTTCAGGCGCACTCCACTATAAAGTTATAATGTTTATTTTTCAGGCGTATCAAAGAAAAAGCAACTAAAGAACAAGCAGTTGTCCACGCAATTCTATCAGCCGGTTTGGTGCATGCAGTTACAAGAAACTGTTCGAAGGGGGTACTACAATCGTGCGGTTGCAATCCCAAGTTGAGATCTTCGATTCCTGCTAATCCAAGGTACATAACATCAAGCGGGTTGGTACGATCGAAAAATAATTTGAAACAATCAAAGATCCAATGGTCATGGGGAGGTTGCTCTGATGACGTTGAGTATGGTCAGTCCCTGGCGAAAAAGGTGCTTGACGATTTAGAAGTAGGATTTGACTCCCAAACGTACGCGAATTTACATAACAACCTGGTGGGGCGAATGGTAAGTGAAAGTCTTATTTCGTATCTTAGTGGTAATTTGGATAATGTTTAGATAATTCGTAACACGATGATCAAGAAATGTCGATGTCACGGGGTCTCCGGCAGCTGCTCACTTCAAACGTGTTGGTTGCAAGTCGCTCCATTCCAGAAAGTCGCCGAGGTTATTAGGCAACGTTACAAAAAAGCGGTAAAAATAATGGTTGAAAACAGAGCAACTTTCGAGCCCAGCCCAACGGCACCACCAAGAGTACACGACCTCAGCAACCATCAACTTGCGTTTATTGAAAGATCTCCCGATTATTGCATACCGGATAGCACGATAGGTACGCGTTCATGATGTTCCATTTAAATATACCTAAACATGTGTGTTTTAATTTCAGGATGGCCAGGAACCAAAGGAAGGCCCTGTCTGCGGGGACGTTCCAAAGGAAACACGTTGCTAGAAAGACGAAGTTGCAAAAATCTATGCAGGCATTGCGGACACAGGGTTCGAAAGTACAAGAGACAAGTGAAGAAAAATTGCAACTGCAGTTTTATATGGTGCTGTGAAGTTAAATGTGACAATTGTACAGAAGTTGTTGAAGAATTCTTTTGTGATTGACGATTAGCTAAGTTTATTGTTTTTTATTTATGGGTTCCTATGTTTTTGTGATTTTATTATTATATTAGTTCCTAGTGCAATATTGTTTCATAGTTCATTAGTTAGAATTAAAACTTAAAAAAAGTTACATCTTTCTTCATTACAAAATACAAACACCGTTCAATGCCTACAGGTATGGATATAATGTACTAACTATCTGCTTCTGAAATCACTTTTGCTGAAAATTGCTATCGACCGAAATTTTGAGAGTAGTAGTTCATCCTGTTCCACAAAGTATGTAACAAGTACTTACCAGTAAATAACGGGCGATCAAAAATGAGTGGCGGTCGTGTCGCCTTTGGAAGTTCAAGTTTCAAGATTGAAAATTAAAAATGTTTTAATAGCTGCAAAGATTTTTGCTTTGTTCCACTTTCAACAAAACTACTCAACTTTAGATGCAACGATGTAATTAGGAACAAAACATTGGTAGAGACAAAAAGAGAGATATTCCAGGACTATATGACCATTCCCCTAAAAATAGTGTCTATGGTGACAAATAACGAATGAATTTGGTTTCAATCATAATCAGCCTTGGAATAAACTTCGAGGCAAAAATGCAAGGTTGATTCCCAAATGAAATTCTAAAGTGTTTAGCATGGCTGATTTTGTAATTTTTGTCTCGAATACTTATATGGCAAACGCCCCCTCCATGATCTGGACCCCTTCCGAAAGTAACAGACTATTCTAGAACGTTCTCGAACAAACACGTCATACTTCTCGGAATGGTTACGTCGCATCCGCATTTGTTCTATATCGCCCATGGCTAATCTTTCATGGCGCCTCGATGTCTATCGATATTTCTGGAATGTTCGCTACAATGAAACTATACAATATTGTCCTGGAGACTGTATTTTAATACCCGCTTTAGGAATTAATTTATGTTGTGCCAGTAAATTTAGAAAATTCCTTATGTGCACAAAAAGGTCGATATTAATTGCTTGTAACAACTCAGCGTGATTCGTATGGAAAATGCTGGGGAATGTTTCGGTTTTTTTTATTTGACCACATCGCCATGTATTTTTCTAAGCTCCAAGGAATGTTCCTGAGAAGGGGTAGCTTCACATATGTGAAAGACTATGAGAGGTTAACCATTTACGTTAGAAACAATTCAAAACTGCTTATACCAGTAGGGAAAACATGCGAGAAGATCTGGAAAGTAGCAAACACGATCATAGATCAGACAAACAATTTCACCCACTTAAATCTCTGGCATTAGACAGAATTTTGCCAATCTTGACCTTTTTTCATCATTGCAAGGTACAGACTACTCATTAAATGTGCATGTTGACCCCAGTTTACAAAATTTTGCAATTCTAATTGTCGAGTTCTTGAAAAATATTAGAAATGATTGTGACAATTAAAATAGCCTTATTATATTCCTTCTTCCCAAAAGCAGTGCGTCATATTTAATGCCTTCTTTTTAAGAAAAATTAATCATTTAATGAATAAAATATGATGTTTATTATAGATACAAATAGTTCATGATACTTTGTTGGTATATTTTCCGACACTATCAAGAAATAGTGTCGATGACATTGTAGCAAATTGTAATACGATTATTAAATGAGACGATAATGCACCAATAACCTGTAACAGTAAACGCAATGAACAGACACTACGTCGACAGAGCTTAACACATTTACATCAAATAAAAATCTCTCGTCAATCTGGAACAGTTGACACGCTGTAAATTTTACATTTTGATGATGGAGTTGCAATGAAAAGAAGAGAACCTAAAAAGAAATAATTCTGTGAACCATAATTTTGATTCGACGGTCACCTCGAGCACAAAATCTTGTCCTAAACCTTCCTCCAGGGATTCTTTTAAACTGCTAACCGCTTTCGTATGTATTAGCAAGGTTTTGTGAATCAGAGCTGCTATATTTGAACTCTGAAATGTCGAAATAATTACAAGTATTCGAACTGTCACCAAGACCCACTTCATTTACTACAATAGAACAAGATATTACTAATGACAGCATCTGAACAGCTCCTAAAATTGCACAGGAAGACAAGTATATTATGTAGCTCGTTTGTGGAAATTTAAACATAACTAGGTGTCGAATGATATATACAATAGCCACCGTCAATGTAATGAAATTTTGTAAAAGTACCACTACAATTGGTATATGAAATATTTTATTAACTCTCTGACAAATCTTGCATAATTCACTGTGTTGGACGCGAATTTGTTCCATTTTTTGAACATTTCCCAGATATTTAATTGTATACCTATAAATCCGTGTTAGTGTAAACTTCCCTTAAGTAATTTCATACTTTTTATTGATCGCCCTCACTTCTCTATTTAACCAGTTGAATCGTCGCCTTAAACAGAGTAGTAAAACCGAAAATTGCAAAACAACGCACATATTAACCATTAAAGGGATCACCAATTGGATTAGAGCCTCCACGACATCGTCATCCTCTTCAGAGCTCATAATTTCGGTCACAATAATTATAAATACCGTAAGAGTGGTAGCGCACATGATAACTACAATTATGTGAACCTTTTCACTTTTGTATTCTTTTCTTCGATCAATGTCTAAACATTTTTCAGCAAACAAGTCGAAGGAATTCACGGTTTCAATTACGTCCAGCAACTGTAAATCAATTATGATTATAAAAACTAATCTGCTTAATTGCAATATGGACTTACTTCCTTAACGTAAATGCACTGAAAAAACATTCCAGAGAATACTCCCAGTAAAATGGAATAGCTGTCAAATATTGCAATTACATTTTCAATAAATACATCAGAATAAGTTTGATCAACTATATATTTAGCAGAGTACGAGAACAAGATTAATAGAGTTGCTATACTGACAAGCATCCAAAATTTTGAACGTTTAAAATGATTGGTTTTTATGCTAAATGGAGTTAAACCAAAAACCCGCATGAAATAATATAAAGGTTTAATCACTGATTGAAAGTTATCAGACATTTCTCCAACTTACTGAACTGAAACGTACCTACAAATTTGTGAATAATATTGTATGTCATGTTAAAGGCCGTCTTCGTGAATAAGACAGTATTTACCAATTCCAATGCGTGATATTGATTGTTAATGTGTTTGGTTTGATATATTAGTTATGTATTAACATGCCCAAGATCTATATATAGAAAAATATGATCGAAACCTTTTTTTAGAAACATTTTTCCAAATATTCATTTGCCAAACCGGAGCAGTTATTCTTATTCGGAAAAGAGATATGAGCATTACTAGTTCTTTGATTGTTGTTCTGTGTTTTTCTATGCCGTTTAGAAACTGTTACAGAGTTGTGAGCATACCAGTATAATAGCATTTGGATTCGGCAAATGCCCTGAGATGACATTAAGATTTTATAGGTCCCAAACATGTCATTAATATTTGCAAACTTTTCAGGTACAAGACAAATACAAAGAAAGCGTAAGTTAGTATACTATCTCGGCCCACAAAAATTAGTGGCAATGCATATTTATGTAATCTGGATTCCATGGCAACTCCAGCTTTCTTTCTATTTTTTGTTATTAAAACTATTGATGTATTTGATGTAACTAATACAAAATTTAGTTTAAATTGCTATATCGTGATTACGTTTCCAATCTAATTGATTACTTAGATTTTTTACTATTTGTAATTAATCAAACACCTGGTATATAATTCTATTCAAAATAAATGTCCACGCCTCTGGAATCTCTGGATGCTAAATAAAATTTAACCCACACAAAAGAATGGTATCACTTGAACTGAAAGTTGAACTACATAATTAATTAGAAAAAATTCGCCTATCATTCCTAAAAATACACAAATTTGTTCACGGGATACAGGTTTCTTTTGCACGTTAATAGTTGGAATTTGGTTTATTTACTGGAATAATTTACCGCGTTTAAAAGACCACAAATATCGCTGACCGCTGACCGCAGACCTGTAGTTTAAATCACCTATATCAATTTCAAAATCAATAATCATGATGCCGTGGCAGATCGTGGAGTAGGCCTACCGGAGAAACCACGTTAGAAACGCGCCAAGTATACTACTTCACCGGTGGTATGGTTGTGTGGAAATATGTAATCGTTTAGAATGCAACTACCTCAACTTTTAGAAGGGCGATATCTTAGGAATGGTGATACTTGGAGAAACAAGTTGTAAATCAGCATATGCAATGATGAAAGCGCATTTTTGGTAATGCAGATCAGTATTTTATTAACAAAGTTTAAAATTATCGATCTCACGAGTAATCTAACTCAAAATAAACTAGAGCCTTCACATCTACACTATAACAGAAAGCTTTTAGTGAAAATTTGAAGTCTCTAGCTATTGCTCAGATCTCAGCCGGACAGCCAGCCAGCCAGCCATAACAAATATAATAGCGTATTTTTTATCCGAACAATGGTTTTCGAAATTGTTGATAGCAAGACCAAATTTCAAGTATAGGTATAGTTTAAACCCAAACGACATCTTACGATAATAATTAGGGTTTCTAATTGCATTTCAGTGTACTTTAATAATACCGAAGTGGGAAGGTTAATTTGAAATTTGAATTAGTCAGATGGTTTATTGAATATTATTTTACAGTTTTTACGAGATACGTCCTATTTAAGTGTACAAATGTGTACCTACGTACAATAATTGTTTAAAATTTTGTAACTACGCCTTGCAATAGTCGCTCAACCGTGTGATTTAAAAAAGGGTTGAGTACACACTGTCGCTCTCTCTGCTGGTTTCCAGTTTCCAGTTTCTTCATATCAATTTTGTTAGTGTAAATTAGGCTGCTAGTTTTGAACTAAACAGAAGAAGCTCGTTTTTTTATTTAAATTTTAACATTGTTTTATATAAGAATAGTTTTAAGAATGTTTAAGTTTTGTTTAATTTGATCGCCTCGATATTTTTTAGTGTGATTTGTCTATTTAGTTGTATAAGTGAAAAAGGTAGTGTTTGCACGTTGTATTAAAATGTTTATCTGGCCATTGCGATAAAAACGTTTGTTATCCCGTTGCG